GTGATTAGGTGCCAATGCTGGGGAGGGGCGGGGGGTTAGTGTCTGATCTTGGGAAAATGGAAATATATTGTTCAAATCTGTCATGTAACAATGTTGTAATTTCCTTCATGCATTGTAGCTGAGTAATTTCTGTGATCCATTTTTTAATGGGGGGATTAGGGTGGACCTGCATTACCCACCCTCCCCCCAGTGCCTTGGTTATCTGAGATAGACCTCTACTGGCCAGCACAAGAAAGTTGTTGCATGAAGGCCTGGTGGTAACACTGTGTTTTCCAGTAAAGGTATTATGGGGCCAACAGACTCATTCACCTGATCAACCGCTCAGTGTCTGCATCCCCCCTCTGCCAATCCCTCCACTGGCTTCCACTCGCCCAGAGGATAAAATTCAAAATATTAACAATGACTTACAAAGACATCCACAACTCTGCCCCTGGATATATCTCAGACCAGTCTCAAAATATCACCCTAACCTTCCACTGCGCTCTTCCCAAGACCTCCTGCTTTCCAGCTCCCTTGTCAACTCCTCGCATACTCACCTCTAGGACTTCTCTAGAGTCTCTCCCATCCTCTGGAACTCTTTACCCCAACTGGTCCGTCTATCTACCACCTTAACTGCCTTTAGGCGTTCCCTAAAGACTCATCTCTTCAGGGAAGCCTATTCCACCTCAACCTAACCACTGAACCATCACGTTCTCAAACAATTCATCCCCACACAGCTCCCTCCTCATGTATCACTTCCCCCTCCTCTTTTAGATTGTAAGCCCCCAGAGGCAGGGCCCTTCTTACCATCTTGTCTTGAATTGTATTGTAATTATGTCTTCCTACATTGTAAAGCACTGCACAAACTGTTGGCGCTATATAAATACTATGTAATAATAAGAATATAGATGGGAGTTTTGGAGCAGTAAGGCCCACATCTGCAAGAGGGGGTAAGCTGATTAGGGGGAGGCATTAAAAGGGATGAGCCCAAAATAAGGGTGTATGTCTCCAATCTTACCCACAGATTGTCTTTACATGGAATATCCAATCAATAACATGCAATAGTAGTGCAGTGCATAGTTCAAAGTGAGGGAGACCTAAGCCCCCTGACTGTTTAACATGAACTAATATGTTGTACCGCAGGTGGAAAGAGGAGTGGGCCCAAATGTACCAGATCAGAGCACCACTTAATGACCAAGGACAAATGTGGGTCCTGAGGTTACACAGGTTGAGAACCACTGTTTTAGAGGACCATTCTTTATCTATGTAAAGCTTGCTGAAAGAGTGGAGTGTAAATAAGTTAACAAAATCTACAAAGATCTGTGAATATACAGTATGTACTCATAGATATTTAGTCGAATCATTGGCCCACTGAAAGGGAAAGGAGGAGAATGGGAAACGTTGTTGAGCAGAGGTGATAGTAAGAGTTGCACTACTGATTTATGGGTATTCACATTAAAGTTGCTCAGTTGACCAAATCTTTCTATATAGAGGGGAAGGCTACTCTGGGATTGCACACATAAAGGAATATGTCGTCCACATAGAGACTTGCTCAACAGTGTTGTCCCTGTGTCTGGAGGTCCTGGATGGTGGAGTCTACTTGTATTGCTCCAGCAAAGTGTTCCATTGCTAACATATAAAAGAAAGGAGAAAGAGGGCATCCTTGCCTCATTACGAATGGCAACTGGATCTAAAAATATGATGAGGCTACATGTCGAGGAACTGTTGTATAAGGCTTAATCCTGTTTAGGAGAAGGCGGAACAACAATCTGTTACAAGGTGGTGGACAGAGATTTCCAGTCAAAGCGGTCTCAGTGCCGACAGATATGACATTACGGTTGATTATGTTTTCTATATCTATAGTTCATGAGGGAAATTGTTTGGATTGCATTGTCATGCACTTCTAGAGAGGGGAGGAAGCTTTCCTGCTTCATGTGAATAAGGGAAGGAATATAGGACTGTAGTCTATTAGAAATTAGTTTGGTGAATTCGTTGAAGTTTATATTAATGAGAGATATTGAGTGATAACTAACCCATTGCAAGGTGTCCTCACCTTCTTTCTGAATTAGGGAAATGTGGGCATCTTGGTTCTGGGTAGGGAAGTGAAATGTAGGGGATATGTTAACGGTGTTCAAGTATTAGTGAGAGTGTGTCTGTAAATTGCTTGTAAAAAGTAGCCATGAAACAATCAAGGCCTGGACTCTTGCCCAAGGGCAAAGTGGAAATAGTGGACAGCTATCACCTTCTCATATGCAGGGATCAATCTTCTGGTTTTATTCAGTCACAAAAAAACAGTATTATTTCTTCTAATAATAAAATGTTGGTAATAGAAATAAGCCCTTGCACCTATAATATTTCAAAATGAAAGGATTTCAAGCTAAATTGTAAAACTAGATTCAGTAATTGGCAGAGCAACGTATTGGTCTCGGCAGTCTGCCTATATTTATTAGTTTCTTTTGAAAAATCAATTGTTTTCCCTGCCCCATTTATCTGCTGACTTGCACCCACAGGGCAGCTTAAGGAATGAACAATTCATTTGTAGTTTTAACATCCGTAGTTGACACATGGACCTCAAGGGGGCAGTGTTGCTATTCACTGATTTGTATTTCTCCCAACGATAGACTGCATAACGGTTGTGTGTTTATTAGTATTTCAGCAAACATTTGTTTCAATCTAGTGTGATTTAAGTAAGAAAATAGCATGAGAGACAATATGCAAATTGTTGTTTAAAGTAAAGCTATCATGAGTAGCAATAAGCTTTGAGTTCAGGTCCAACATGAGTGTAAACCACAGTCAACCATATCTGGCTAGTTCGCTTGCCTGCACCACCGGCTGATGTTTGTAAATATTTATCAGCTGGAAGTGTCATTTAGCGGCTGTAGCGCTATCTTCATGATCATATTTGGCAATTACTTCACACAGGATCGCTGCTGGCTTGTTTGCATACAGAAACCGGTGATGATCTGTCATTTGCAATGCAAGTAGTGGTGGGGTAGCATCGTGGTCGCCATGGTGGTGGTAGCGCCGCTCATACATCTTCATTTTTTTCTGAATAACAAGGGGCACCCTGTACTCCTTCACACAGGGAAGGGGGCCCTGATATACTGATATCCTCATTTGTTAGATTTGAATGGTGTGGAAGTGTTAAAATCCTGGTCTGGGGAAAGCAAAACTCTCCACCCTCCCTCCTATCTATCCCTCGCACCACCCTCACTTATTTAGCTTACATTTTTTTTTCTCTTTTAGATGTTTTAGTACGCCATCGGTTTCCCTCACCGCTGCTGCCTCCAGTAGTGACAACTACAACCAGTAGATCCAGCACTGCAGTGCCTGTGCTGGATGGTCGTAGGTCTTTGTGCCGAAACCCACTTCTGGATAGCTCATAGGTTGTGTCCATGTCAGCCAGGCACTGATGTGGACACCCAAAGAAGGAGCCTCTTCCTCTGCAGTTAGAAAACCCAAGACGCGGTGCGTGATGTGATCAGAGATTAAGGTAGTTGGGGCTTTTAGTTTAGGATTTTATTAAAAACGAACTTAGTTCATTAGGGGTTGAGTAAAGCCCAGAGGTTAGATTTAACCCTTCTCTATTTTATACTTGAAATAGTTTGAAAAGATCTCCTGAATGTGATAATAGATTATAATAGACAAATTAGATGAATTTAAAGAACTCCAGGCAAAACTTTTATTAATAGACAAAAAGGAGCAGTTAACACTTGCAGCGCAGGGTAGCCCCACTTGAAGGATTAAGCAAAGTTTTGCCCGGTGTTCTTCTTTAACACTCACAGGATGGATGAGCATCTTTGGTAAAGTAGCTACCGTGTTTCCCCAAAAATAAGACACTGTCTTATTTTTTTTTTTTGCACGAAATAAGACACTAGGTCTTATTTTCGGGGTAGGTCTTACTTTCGGGGAAACACGGTATACTTTAAATCAGTGGTTCTTAAACTGTGTAACCTCAGGACCCACATTTGTCCTCGGTCATTAAGTCGCGGCCCAAGTCACACTGGAGTGGAATGTATGGCAGTATGGACTGCTTTGCTGTGACGGAGCGCCATCCATATATGCATTGCTTGTATAGCTCCCATGCGTGCCTCTAGAGGTGCCAGGAGCCAGAATGTGATGTCACTCCAGTCCAGGTACCTCTACAGGACACACGAGGGAGCAGTAATCAATACACGTATGGATGGAGCTCCCTTTCTG